TAGGAAGCCAGCCCACTACCGGTTTCCCTTAGTCAATATGGCGACACCAGCACCCGACAGTCGATTTGAAGAATCAGCTCGGGGTGAGAACACTGCTGGATCCCTGGACAGGTAAGTGCCCTAATAATAAAAGTCAGCAGCTACAGTATTTGTAGCTGCTGACTTTTATTTTTTATTTTTTTTCGGGGGGGGGGGGCCACTTTAAGTTTTCAGTTTTTTTACATATGGACAAATTTGGTACCAGGTAGCTTTCACTAGCCTCTAATGTTCTGACCATATGGTGTGTGTGTGTGTGTGTGTGTGTGTGTATGTGTGTGGTCAAAGACTTTAATACTGTATGTCTGAAGAAGCTAGACTTTCTTGAGCTATATTGATTAATAGCAAAGATCTTGGGACCCTGTGCTGCCATACCCTCATCCACTAACAATAATTTTAGCCACTGTTAAGCTGGGTACACACTATAAGAAATTCAGTAGAAAATTCTGTATGAGGAATGATCGGTCAATTGTCTGATCACAGATCAACAGCCAATTCTGACTGATCAGATGATAAAAAATTAAGGCGCAAGGTAGAAAATGTTTATTGTACGTGAACACAACATCAGATTTTTGCTCAATGTGTACAGTAATCGTATGGAAATAATCAAATAGAAAAAATACGCATGTTCAGAACCAAGGAACGACCCGGAAGAAGTTGGCAACAAACATAGAAAATGTACACTAAAAAGAACATTTGCCTTTATCATTCAAGAATTTTTGTACAAGTTAATACCATTATCAGTTACATCATGATATGCACCTTCGTGGAAATTCAGATGATCTTTTGTCTGATTTTCTCATAGCGTGTTCCCCACTTTAGGGCACTCTAATTGAACAGGCTGCACACAGCTGAGAGGAACTTTGCTCAGTCATGGAGAAGAGACCTCTACCTAAAAGTGAAATGAGATAAGAGAAACACTCAAATGGTTTTATTTTTGGCTAATAAAGGTAATATTTTCCAACTTGTGGCACCCTCACGTAGGCAGGGCTTTTACTTTTAAAAGTTTAAAAGGTCTGACAATTTCACTACCCCCTTACTTCATAGATGGAGGCTATGCCAAGTTGTGCTTCTGTTTTCCTGTTTAGGACAGCATTTTAATTAAGTGTAATTATTAAAATTACCCCTCCCCCTTTCTAACCTTCTTACTAGAAAAATTAAAATAAAAGATATTAAAAGAAGTGTGGTATTGCTTGTTTTTTTTGTTTTTTAAAAACAAACAAACGTACCTAGGTGAATGCAGCATCGGTCTTATGCTGCATCTGTCCCCACCAGCTCTAAGTGTAAGAACTCAGCCATCACATGACCACTGATCGTTGAGTTCTCACAGCCACTCTGAGCAGAGAGCAGTGACTGTCAGTCACCGCTGTCTGCTCTGTCGCCCCCGTGCTCACTGGAGAGCTGAGCTATTAAAAGGGAGGGAGCAGGTGGCTCAGGCTGTCCGTGGCTTGCTGATAGGCTGAGCCAGGTGCCGCTCAGGACTCTGGGGTGGATCCCGACTTTAAAGTCGGGATCTTTCCCCAGCCTGGACCGGCTGAGTGACAGCAGCCAACAGCGGGCTTCAGCCTGCTGTCAGTTGAAACCAGGTCACAGGAGTGCAGAATGAACTTTAGATAAGATAAAAAAAAATCATGCCAAGTATCAATTGCATCCAAAGTTCTTGTCCTTTGTAGCTTGTTCACTTAAATGTAAGTAGATCAGCAGAGTAACATGTCAGAAGTGACATACACATTAATGAAGGGAATACATTTCTGTTGTGATTGACACAGAGGACAGCATTCTCTGCATTGTATATGCGTATTCAATACTCAAAATATTGGTCCGGTAATATTTTTTTGGTCTTTATGAAGGTGTGGATTATGCTGTGAAGCTTGTCACAGGTCAACTTAGATTGAGCAGAGAAGGGAAATTCCATCATTTTCTGTAGGTCAGCACATGTGACACCCACAGACTCAAAACATCATTTTGATGGATGTCAACAATCTTGAAGGCTTTATCTGTGGGCTGTGGGGATATTGTAAGCTGTAGAAGTGGTTACACTGCATACAATGTTACTTTGTCTCCAAAGAGCCCAAATTTGTATTCAAAGGACCCCACTAAATCCAGAAGCTAGGCACTGCAATAGGCACCCCTTGTCCTCCATGATTTGCCAACCAACCCGTACCTGTATAAAATATGAGCTTTATCCACATTAATCTATTTCTATAAATAAATGCAGATGATTGGTTTTTAATTTTTTAGCAATTTACTTGCAAGCCTTAACCATAATGACCATAACCTATGGCTTACATATTTATGCATGGTAAATACTGTGCCTGATAGCCTTTTACATACTAAACTTTGCAGGAAACCTACAATTATACTAAATGCTGGAAATGGACATCCAGTAGATACTGGTTACTTAGTATTTGCTCATAAAAAGGAATTGTTCTGATGATTCTGACTTTGAAATGGAAACTGTTAGACTGTGTCATTGCCTTTACAGAGGGACATAGTAAAAAAAACTATTAAACAGAGCTTACCGTCAAGTCATATTTATTTCCCCAAATGCTGTAATTCAGAAGGCCAGTTGTAATCAGCTGAAGCCCTTGAAAATGGTCCCATTTATCACAAAACACAACTGTCAACAACCAATATTACAGTCTATTCTCTCCTGTCATTGCCATTTATTGATGGGGAATGTTAGAGTCAAGGACCATATTTCAAGTAAACCAAAACTGGTATTTCATAGATTTAAACCTATTAAAGGCATACATTTGTCTAGCCATCATAGTGGATCATCTAGAAGGGACAAATATGATTCTTATGCCCTGTGGTGTTTTATAAATGGTGGAAAAGATTTTGAACACCAGCATTTTGCAAACTGTCTTAGGGAGTAGTGTATATGCTCACTTGTGAGTGTAATTGTTTCTATATAGCAAAGACCAAGAGGAGGTTTATTAATCATCGTTGCAGTCTGAGAACTGTAGTAGGTCACTGTTTCTTTGATAACCAGGTAAAGTTCAACTCCAGACAAAGATGTAGTGCCCTCCTAGTTTAGCTAGGGGGAACTAGACCCTAATGGTTAGTTAGGAGCTGATCATCAGGTGAGATAGCCAGAGGGGTCAAATTCTGGTCAGGGCAGAGATACTCTGCAGGCCAGCCCCTCTGGAATTTCCCCGTGCTCTGAGGCTTTTGGAGGAGGGCCTAGGAGGCAGTGAGTGGCTGGCTACACTCTCAAGGGACCTCAGACAATCCCCTACAGGAGGCATGGCAAGAGGCTGGGACTCCTCTAAAAGTGTTAGAGCCTGCTCAGTAGGGGGAGCATGGTGGTGGAAGAGGAGTAGGGAGCAAAAATATGTGAGGCTGGAGGTGGAAGGCTGCCAGGAGGTCTGATGAGATGGGGCCTGCCTGCGAGCCCTGAGTCAGAGAGGAGGAAAGCTCGGGACTCACCGGCCCCCTGAGAGAAGACCATCTGTATGGCAGGGAAGGAGTAGCCCAGCTGATAAGCCTGGTAGCAGCAGCCATCCATCAGAGAGGATCTGAATGAGTACACCTACATCCTCTGGGTGGAAAAGGGGAAGGAGCACTCTGGTGGGAAACCAGATTAGCCCCCTACTAGTGACTGTTAACCATTTTAAGTAACAGGAGCCAGATCCACTGCTTAGGAAAAAAGTCTTCAGATTGCTTGGTGAAGAGGAGTTCATCTAGGGTCTGGGGTGGTACAACTAGTAGCTGCTGGCTAGCACTCCAGCAGAGACTGTGTCAGAGAAAAGAAGCTGTGACTAGTTCAGGAAGTTGTCCTCAGATTTTGGTTCCCTTGGGCATCCTATACACCCATTACCCTATCCAAGCTCTAATCCCCTCAATAAAATAACAAAACAAATGCTCAGGGACTGTTTTCTACCTACAGATGAGAGCTGGTGTGGAAGAATGCTAAATGACTCTCCTGGGGGGATAGTGCTACACAGATATATATATACATATTATATACAGTATATATACAGTATATATATATATATATATATATATATATATATATACATACAGTGCTCAGCATAAATGAGTATACCCCTTTTGAAAAGTAAGACTTTAATCAATATTTCAATGAAAACAAGAACCATCTCCAAGATTTTGAAAAAAAATAGTTTTATAGAACATTTGTTTAGCTCATTACATGAAAGTAAGGTTAATAATATAACGTAGATTACAAAATCTTCAGTTTTACTCAAATTAGTTGATGCAAAAATGAATACACCCCACAACAAAAACTACTCCAGCTAGTATTTTGTATGACCTCCATGATTTGTAAGGACAGCACCAAGTCTTCTAGGCATGGAATGAACAAGTTGGCGACATATTGCAACATCGATCTTTTTCCATTCTTCAAGAATTTTAGAGCCTGGATGCTGGATGGAGAGTGATAAAGACATATATACACTACATTGCCAAAAGTATTGGGATGCCTGCCTTTACATGCACATGAACTTTAATAGCATCACAGTCTTAGTCTGCAGTGTTCAATATTGAGTTGCCCCACCTTTTTCAGCTCTAACAACTTTTACTCTTTTGGGAAGGCTGTCCACAAGGTTAGGAGTGTGTCTATGGGAATGTTTGACCATTCTTCCAGATGCGCATTTGTGAGGTCAGCTACTGATGTCAGACAAGAAGGCCTGGCTCACAGTCTCCACTCTAATTCATCCCAAAGGTGTTCTATTGGGTTGAAGTCAGGACTCTGTGCAGGCCAGTCAAGTTACTCCACCCCAAACTTGCTCATCCATGTCTTTATGGACCTTGCTTTGTGCACTGGTGTGCAGTCATGTTGGAACAGGACGGGGCCATCCCCAAACTGTTCCCACAAAGTTGGGAGCATGAAATTTGTCCAAAATGTCTTGGTATGCTCATGCCTTAAGAGTTCCCTTCACTGGAACTAAGGGGCCAAGCCCAACCCATAAAAAACAACCTCACACCATAATCCCTCCTCCAACTTTACACTTGGCACAATGGAGTCAGGCAAGTACCTTTCTGGCAACCACCAAACCCAGACATGTCCATCGGATTGCCAGACAGAGAAGTGCGATTCATCACTTGAGAGAACATGTCTCCACTGCTCTAGAGTCCAGTGGTGGCATGCTTTACACTACTGCATCAGATGCTTTGCATTGCACTTGGTGAAGTAAGGCTCGGATTCAGCTGCTTGGCCATGGAAACCAATTCCATGAAGCTCTCTATGCATCGATGTGCTATTCTGAAGGCCACATGAAGTTTGGAGGTCTTAAGCTACTGACTTTGCAGACAGTTGGCAACTTCTGCGTACTGTGCACTTCAGCATGCTCGGAGCCCGCCCTGTAATTTTACATGGCCTACCACTTCATGGTTGAATTGCTGTTGTTCCCAGTTGCTTCCACTTTGTTATAATACCACTAACAGTTGATTGTGGAATGTTCAGTAGCAAGGAAATTTCACGGATGGACTTATTGCACAAGTGTCAACCTATCACGGTACCACACTTGAATTCACTGAGCTCCTGACAGTGACCCATTCTTTCTCAAACGTTTGTAGAAGCAGTCCGCATGCCTAGGTGCTGTGGCCATAAGGGGATTGGAACACCTGAATCCAATGATTTAGAGGGGTGTCCCAATACGTTTGCCAATATAGTGTGTGTGCCAATATAGTGTGTGTCCAGCAGACAGTTGATTGTAAAAGGGCGTTACTTAACAAAGAAAACCCCTCCCATTTCATGCTGTCAGCAATGGCACCACAAGGAAGAGAAATGTCACAAGACCTGAGAAAGAAAATAATTTCTTTACACAGGAAAGGTTAAGGTTACAAGAAGATCAGCAAAGCTTTACTTATCAGTCAGAATACTGTAGCAAAAGTGATAGAAAAATTTAACAAAGATGGAACTACAACAATCTCACAGACATGTCCAGGCAGTCCATGGAAGTGAACACCTCGACAGAAGCATCTTCTGATGAGAAGGGTTGATGAAAATCACCATGCAAGTTCACTGCAGTTACCTAGAGAAGTGGAAAGCCAAACTGGGGTGATTGTTTCCCATGACAATACGGCGTACCCTGCAGAGGAATGGCATGCATGGGCGTCATCTACGAAGGAAGCTCCTCCTAAAGCCCATGCACAAAAAGCCCGCCTAGAATTTGTCAGGGCCCATGCTGAAAAAAAAGAAGACTACTGAGACTCTGTACTATGGAGTGATGAGACCAAGATAAATGTGTTTGGAGCTGATGGCTTCAAAACAGTATGGTGTCGCGAAGGTGAGGAGTACAAAGAAAAAATACATGGTGCCTATAGTGAAACATGATGGTGGCAGTATCCTTTTGTGGGGCTGCATGAGTGCTGCTGGTGTCGGGGAGCTGCATTTCATTGATGGTATCATGAATTCACAGATGTACTGCTCTATATTGAAAGGGAAGATGCTACCATCACTCCGTGCTCTTGGTCGTCATGCATTTTTCCAACATGACAGTGATCCAAAACACACATCTAAGGCCACTGTTACATTTCTGAAGAAGGGTGAAAGTGATTCAGTGACCAAGTATGTCTCCTGATCTGAGCCCAACTGAACACCTATGGGAAATTCTGAAGAGACAAGTTGAGCATCACTCTCCATCCAGCATCCAGGCTCTAAAAGAGGTCATTCTTGAAGAATGGAAAAAGTTAGATACTGCCATATGTCACCAACTTGGTCATTCCATGTCTAGAAGACTTTGTGCTGTCCTTACAAATCATGGCGGTCATACAGAATACTGGATGTAGTCGTTTTTGCTGTGGGGTGTATTCATTTTTGCATCTACTAATTTGAGTAAAACTGAACAGCAGACTTCACATGTTCCTTGATCTTGGCCTTTTTCTATAGAATTGTGGCAATGGTTGAACGATTCATGTTATAACAGTGAGCGATGTCTACCATCTTTTCGCCTCAGTCCAACTTCTCAATTATTTTCACTTTTGTTTCCATGGCTATTGCTTTGCACTTCCTATCAGTCCCCTTCACATCATTCCGGCAGACACATGAGCTACGTCCGCGATTTGTTCGCATCTACAAATGTTCATAATGTGAGGTCCGTTCATATTTGTGAAAGTTTGCAACTCGAATGTTCGTAAGTCGGGGACTTCCTGTATGTGTGTGTATATATATATATATATATATATATATATATATATATACACAGTTGTGTTCAAAATAATAGTAGTCAGACATCACTAACCTGATCAATCACTGTTTTTGGTAGAAATAATATTTCTACATGGCAAATAATTTACTAGCAGGTGTAGTAGAGTAATAGAAATCCAACAGAACCAACAGTCATGACATGCATGCTGCTGATTCTGTGTAATTGAATCACTAATTGAAAGGGGCATGTTCAAAATTATAAAAATGATCACAAATGCTTTAAAATGGCAAACAAAACCTGAAAGACGTGGAAGAAAGCGAAAAACTACCATTCGAATGGATAGAAGAATAGCCAAAATGGCAAGGACTCAGCCAACAATCAGCTCCAGGAAGATCAAAGAAGGTTTAAAGTAAATAGAAGCACGCAAGTACCTGATTTTGACTTGGTATCAGCCTCTTGCACTCCCTTGCACAGCATAGCTGTTGCATTCAAAATAATAGAAGCTCAAAATCCTTCTAATAGCTTTTATTTCCATACACACAAATGCATTGGGAACACTACACATTCTAGTCCAAATCAAAACATGAAGAAAAATATATCAAATTTGTGTTGTTCCTCTAAAATAAAGTGAAGAAAAGTGAATATTAGACTGTTCAAAAGAATAGCAGTGTTTGTATTCTTCTTTACAAACTCAAACATTCACTATATAAACTGAAAAATGTTTGAAGATTTTGCTTTCCTTTGAATCACTTAATGAATATTTGGTTGTAGTCGCACTGTTTCTGAGAACTGCTGTACATCTGTGTTGCATGGAGTCAACCACCTTCTGGCACCTGTGAACAGGTATTCCAGCCCAGGATGATTGGACTACATTCCACAGTTCTTCTCTATTTCTTGGTTTTGCCTCAGAAACTGCATTTTTGATGTCACCCCACAAGTTTTCTATTGGATTAAGATCCGGGGATTGGGCTGGCCACTCCATAACGTCAATCTTGTTGGTCTGGAACCAAGATGTTACACGTTTACTGGTGTGTTTGGGGTCATTGTCTTGTTGGAACACCCATTTCAAGGGCATTTCCTCTTCAGCATAAGGCAGGCATGTCCAAAGTCCGGCCCGCGGGCCATTTACGGCCCGGGGTCGGTTTAATACGGCCCTCCAACAGCCCTCCCTGCTCTGTGTAATGTGGCCCTCCCACGGCCCTCCCTTCTATGGCAGACAGTCTTCTGCTTGAGAGCAGAGGGCAGTGCGCATGCCTGACTGCGGCGCGTGCGTTGTAAAGTGTTACCCAAACTGTTGGCTATATAAATCCTGTATAATAGTAATAGTTGTATATGAAGAAAAATGTTGCATGCATTGATCTTTTACAAGGAATTATTAGTAATGTTTAGAGATTCATTTTGTCAAAGTTTCACTCTTGAGTCACAGTTCAAAGTATCTCTGCTGTCAGAATTTAGAATTGATTGTTGCCTTTGCCTGTAGTTTAACATGACAATTATTCTGTAGTTTGCAAAGGTACAGAGACATTACAAGCAAGAAGTAAATGTGTTCAGTGAGCTACTAATGCTAGTCAGTTAAGGTTTGCAGCACTTGTAAGAAAAGACTAGAAAAGTTTTTCAGCAGTCAGTGGTAAAAAGATATAAGTAATCAGTAATAAGTAAGCATCAGACTCTTTTCTGTGTGTGTGTTGGAAGCCTTGTTTCCTGCTGTTGCAAGCTTTTGATCTTTCTAATGGGCCCTACGACACTACTGAGCCCTGTACTGATGTAGGGACCCACAGGAGGAACCACAGAAAAAAGAGGGGGTATATGGCATCTGACACTCCTAGAAAAGTTGAAGGCAGAACATTTTTCAGGCAGCGGTATATTATTATTATAATACAGTATTTATATACTGCCAACAGTTTCATAGTTGCTAAGATTTCAGGATTATGGTCAGGAACTGCAGGCATAGTACAGGATTATGGTCAGGGACTGCAGGCGTAGTATAGGAGTTGGTCAGGGACTGCAGGCGTAATACAGGACTATGGTCAGAGACTGCAGGTGTAGTGCAGAAGTTGGTCAGAGACTGCAGGAATAGTACAGGACTATGGTCAGAGACAGCAGGCTTAGTACAGGAGTTGGTCAGAGACTGCAGGCATAGTAAAGGAGATGGTCAGAGACTACATACATGGGATGGTCAGAGACTGCAGGTGTAGTACAGGAGATGGTCAGAGACTGCGTACCTGGCACAAGAGATGATCAGAGACTGCGTACATGGCATATGGGATGGTCAGAGACTGCGTACATGGCGGAAGAGATGGTCAGAGGTTGCAGGCATGGCACAAGGTATGCTCAGAAACGGCGCAAGGGATGGACAGAGATCCAGACATGGCGTAAGGGATGGACAGACTGTGGATACGGCGCAAGGGATGGGCAGAGACTGCGGACACGGCACAAGGGATGGACAGAGACTGCTTACACGATGCCTGAAATTTACAAACTGTCCCTAAACATACAAATAGTTGGCAACCCTACATACCCACATACTACATACACACATGCTACATATACATACACTACATACGTCCCACCACCACAGCACTTACCTTCATTGCTCATGCTGTCCTAGGTAAAAGGAGTGGCCAAGTGCGATTATTTGTGAGGCTGGCCACACCCCTTCCCATCCACTCACACTGCCAAGCCTCACAGGGAGTCCATGGGAGCACATGGGAAAGGAAATATTATGAGCTAGGTTTTGGGTAGATTAAGTTTGAGGAAGTGGTGTGACATCAAGTCTGATATGTGTGTTAGTAAATTATTGATGTGTGTGGAGACTGATGGAGTGAGCTGAGGGGTAGATAGATTTGGGTGTCATCAGTGTAGAAATGGTATTGGAAGCCATGGGA